GTACTCGACCTGCCTCGGGCCATGAATACAGGATCTGCATCTCCATCGTACACACAACGCGGCGGTACCATGCCTGCCTGCCTGCCTGCTTTAGCCTACACTACAAACCTCCTTGGCTGTTTCGATATTCGTGAGCGCGGGATGGGACCAGCAGTGCCGGATTTAGCAAGCAATTTTTTTTTAATGCCAGTTTGGGTACACTTATTATGTTCCTATTAGATCTGCAAATTTTTGTTGTGTTTTTTTCTGGATAACTTTCTTTATAAAAACGTTTGTAGTGAAGTAATAAAAAGAAGTAAAAATTAACAAAATATCAATTCTAAAACTCAAAAGTGTGACAAAATTATGGTCGACAATAATATTCTTTCCCCAGGATCTGACAAAAAATTTATTTAAATCATTTTCTGTTGTCTCTTCTTTCTTTCCATTTCACTTTCTCTTCAATGTTAAAAGCCCTACTTCCTTATGTTGTTTAATAATTTCTTTCTTAATTACTGCAATTTGTGAAACTTTTCTTAAGTTGCTTTTGAAACTATTCCTCCTAAATCTCATCAGAATGGTGTGAGGCGATAAGATCTAGGATGACCTGTTCTTCATTATCTATAACATAACCACTAGAATTTTATTCAATATTCAACATCAAAAGAAATTTTTACGATCAAAGTAATGAAAGCATCAAAAAATAAGTTTTATTCTTATGATAACACCCCAAAGGGATAATCTATACAGGGTGTCCCAAAAGTCAACGATATTCTTTGGAGGACTGATAGACCAACTCATGATTAACCAGAAAATCAAAGCATGACCTTAGTAAAAAAATCGTTAGTTTTTGTGATATAGTCATTTTTATGAATTTTGTAAAACTTGACACCTTTCAAGTGCCACAGCTACCAAATCTACTTTTAGTTTAATTTTGAATTGTAATTAATAGCAGGCTTATTCAGGCCAATCTAATATTATAGAATGGAATATAGAATTGCACTCGAAAAACTGATCTTAGGTGTCAAGTTTCACAAAATTCATAAAAATGCTAATATCTTAAAAACTGATGATTTTTTACTCATATCTTGATATTCTGATTAATCATGACTCATGCATGAGCTGACTTATTAGTAGGGTTGTGGAATTGACTGGTCAATTGACCGGTCAATTGACCAAAATAAAATTAAATAAAATATCAAAATAAATATTACTGTAATTTATTTGTGCTTAATAAATAGGTAATGAAAATACGTTACCAAATTTTTTTTTATTATAAAAGTTATGTTCATCTTTAGAAACGTTTGTGCGGCTTTAAAAAGTTTGTTTCGCTATTAAAAAAGATATATCCCGCTTTAAGGGCAAAGCGCCGAGTCCGGCCTAGCAACCCCTCGACTCGGGGAACTACCAAATTGTAAATGATGTCGATATTGCACGATCGCAAAAATTTTGAGGTTCACGGGTAATTGTTGATACCTAAATAAAATGCTGCAAAAATTAAATATATTTTGACCGGTCAATTGACCGGTCAATTGACCTATTAGTCCTTCAAAGAATATCGTTGACTTTTGGGACATCCTGTATATCAAACAATAAAATAATATTTTTCATTGTTTACACATTTTGGCTTTCTGGAAAATTTTAAATTTCATATCAAGTTTTTTTGCCGGTTTTTACTCGGTTAACACTTTGCCTGACGGGTGTGGTCTGCGATCGCAAGACAAAATAAAATTCCTTCATAACTTTTTTAATATATTTTTCATAATTGTCTCCTCACATAATGAAAGTAATAATCATTATTGGCACTATATAAAATTAATTTATATAAATTTGAATATGCCATGGTTTTCATTTCAAATGAAACAAACATTCATTAATAAAATGTCGCGGGTAATTCGTTTGAGAAATTTTCGATCTGGTGTCAGTACAAAATGTCAAATAAATCATTTGACATTTTGTACTGACATCAGATCGAAAATTTCTCAAACAAATAACCCGCGAAATTTTATTAGTGAATGTTTGTTTATTATGTAAATTTATTTTTAATTTGAAATTCAATGAAGTTCATATTCAAATTTTGAAATATTAAGCAAACGATCGCGAATAATATTCTGTTCAAAACGCAAGTCAATTATAATTTGGTTTTAAAAATATGGACAGTTTTACGAATATTTTTGAAAATCTTAGTGCCAAAAATTGCTTAATACCATTTTAATGCGTCGGAAAAAAACTATAGTTTGTAAAGTATAACCTATAGCGCCGGCGCGCCGGCCGATGCCAAAAGTGGGTAAAGGAGCACCGATAAATGTACCTTTAAATGTATGGATCAACTCGCAATGGAATTCCGAACACATTTTTTTATGTTGCCTGTGAGTCATTTTTTGTCTAATCCCGTTGGCTTGAAAACGGTTTAGTTTTATAGGAGGTGCGGATTATCGGATTGTTGCGATCTGGAACAAGCTTTCTTAAAATGAATTACTCAAAAAATAACTAATTATAAGTCATATTTGACTAATTGTCATAGCGAAAAATCAGTCACTAATAATTAGACAAATTCTACTGAATGAAATAGTCAAATAAGTAGATTTAACTTTTAAAACGTTTTGACCCAGCCGGGGATTGAACTCAGGTCTGTCACTTGTCAAGCTGTTGTCATAACCTATGTGGTCACTCTTATAAAAATCAATTTTATTTGTCAATAAATATTGTTCATGTTCTGTTTATGTATAAGTATGCATTTAATTCAAATAATACTTTGTTGTTGGCCGCAAACCATTAAAGAAATTAGTTACTTTTAACTCTCAGAAATAGTCAAAGATGGTGACTAATCTTAAATTAGCCAACCTTTATCAATTTACGTAGTAAAAAATAACTATTTAAAATTGAAAACGGCTATTTTATTAGTAAAAAATGCTGGTACTAATTCAAATAAGTAGTAGAATTTTTAATTTTATATATAATATCTAATAATTAGTGTCCTAAAAATATAAACTTAAGCTGTTAACTTAAAAATGGAAAAATTGGGAAATTTTCAGAAAAATTGATTTTGGCATTTTTATATTTTATTCAAAGGTTAAAATGAAAGAAACTGATTCATATAATACATGATTATATTAATTATTCATATTATTATAATGCAGTAAGAATCTTCTACCGGGTCGCAAAGAAACAAATTCGGTGCTGTATTAACATAACTAACGTTTTATTTGACACGTTGATTTATAAAATTATAGTTTTGTAATTTAACTTTATACATATATATAAATACATTAGGGTGGTCCATTTTTTAAGAAATTTTGATTTTTTTTGCTCTCGGGTTCGAAATAAATAAAAAAAAATATTTTCCAAGTTTCAAGTCCCTAACTTAATATTAACCCGTGCCGCATTGCAGTTTATTTCGAACCCTTTGAACCCCTGAGAGCAAAAAAATTCAAAATTTCTCAAAATATGGACCACCCTAATATACATATATATATGTATATATATATATATATATATATATATATATATATTAGGGTGTGCCAAAAAAACTGGATATTTTTTTTTCTTGCTCTCCACCCAAAATATCGTAGAATATATCCGAACAAATATTCTGTTAAAAGCGGAGCTCATAATTTCAATTTTAAGAGGTCCCTCATCGAATCTGAAGTTTTGCCGCTTAAATAACACAGAAAACTGACTTTTTTACCTTATTTATTCTTGCAACCTAGGAAGATTTTTTTTTTTCGTAAAATCCATGACTAATTCTTACAAAGCATTAAATTTGGACAAAAAAATCTTATTAAGCCGAATTTCTATTTTCATTATTTAATTTTTTACATAGCTTTAAATTTAAAGATAATAATACAAAAATGATGACTTTATACGCCTGTAACTTTTAGAATATTGACGATATAAAAAATTCGCCTAAAACTTTTTTGTGGTCCATCAGACAAGCTAAAAAATTACCATTTGACTTTTTCATCTAACTTCAATAGTTTAGCTGAAAAAGGTAAAAAACGTAAAATTTTAAATTTAAAGCTCTGTAAAAAATTAAATAATGAAAATAAAAATTCGGCTTAATAAGATTTTTTCGTCCAAGTTTAATGCTTTGTAAGATTTGGTCATGGATTTTATGAAAAAAAAATTTTTTCCTAGGTTGCAAGAATAAATAAGGTAAAAAGGTCAGTTTTCTGTGCTATTTAAGCGGCAAAACTTCAGATTCGATGAGGGACCTCTTAAAATTGAAATTATGAGCTCCGCTTTTAACAGAATATTTGTTCGGACATATTCTACGATATTTTGGGTGGAGAGCAAGAAAAAAACTATTTCGCGTTTTTTTGGCACACCCTAATATATATTCAGATATTAATATGTATATCTATCACCTAGACATTAATGTTATAATAAATTGTGAAACATTTATATTTTTGTATAAACTTGTTATTATTGGATTGTTTGTTTTATATCTAGGATTGCTCGAATAATGCAGCGTATCCTGCAAATATTATTCGAATTAATTATGACTTACAAAACCATTTTAGTTTTTAAGAATTTTATTATAATTATAAATATCTGAACTAGATCTGGCCAGTTGGCTAACAATTTATCGACCACCTCGGCTTATACTGATTGGGTATGGCGCAAAATTCCTCATTACCCTCCTTTTTCTTCCCTTCCATGAGCTCCTGTAAAGTTTTTTGAGGTTGGATGCCATACTTCTTTCTGATGTATTCGTTGACGTCTTTGGTACTTTCCTGTTCGATTTTCTGCCTCTCTTTTTCCTTCAAGCATCGCTTGCACGGTTTTTCCTGGTCCAGGGTGGCTTCGTGTTCCAGATCGTAAGATTTATTTATGTAATCGTCGTTGGCCATGATTAACTCTATTTCAAAGGATGTGTCGCTTAAGTCGTCATCTTGAGTTTCCTGAGGTTTTTTGTTGAACAAATGTTTCCTTAAGGAGTTCATGTTTGTGAATGATATTTTTTGTATTGGATTATTGGATTATTGGAAAACTTAAAAAGTTCCTCAAAAACTAATGTAATGGAAACATTTATCAAAACGGCCGATCCAATCTTTAAGGCTGACTTTCATTTGGAAGATCAAATAGAAGCTATGAACAATCAGGAAATGAATGATGCGTCTGTGAAAGGTGTGATTCCTGGTTTAATTTTTACTGTTTTATTATTATTTTAATTCTTAATTTTTAGATAACCTGACAATTATCCCAAGTTGTAATACCATTGAAAAAACGGTTTCTTCTACAGAATCTGATATTAAAACGCACGAAGCAGCAGTGAGTGAATCAAGTTATCAGGAAGAATCCGACGACTCGGTTAAAGACAAAACCTATGCTAAAAGTTCACCATCCTCCTGCAGCTCTTCATCCAGTTCAAAATCAGACTCTAGTGATAATGAAGCAGAAAATAATGAAAATAAGGATCCTGAAAACCACGAAACTAAAAAAATAACTAGGAAAAGAACGCGTGGACCGGAAAACTGGAAGAAAAATTTAGCCAAACGCCTCAGGAATTCTGGAAAGGAGTACGTTAATGTAAAAACCAAGAAAAGTTATGCAGAAAGGCAATTAAAACCACCGTGCGGCGAAAAATGCAAAATTAAATGCTACACAAAATTCTCTGAAGAACAGCATAGAGAAATATTTAGAAAATATTGGGAAATTGGATGCGTCCAAAGGCAACGTGACTTTATTAGCTCGAGTATGATAACCATAAAACCCAGGTACAGGTATGTAAGGGAAGGTAGTAACCGCCTACCAAATAATGCTTTTTACTTAGAAGTTATTTTTCAAAAATACCTTGGGCATTAATGACCGTCCCATTACAACCGTACTGAGCAAAAGAGATCCTAAACACCCACAATTTTCTGCAGCCGATTTACGTGGTAAACATGCAAATCACCATAAACTAGATGAAGAGCTAAAAGAAAGTGTGAGACATCATATTGAGTCAATTCCTCGAATTCCAAGCCACTATTGCTGGGCTCACACTAATAAAGAATATATTGAAGGATGACTAACGATTTCAGATCTTCATCGTGATTACAAAAAGTTACGTCAAGAAAGTAATAAAGCGTTTGCAAATTACGTTATGTATAACAAAATATTTAACGAGGAGTATAATATTTCATTTTTACTCCAAAAAAAGACGAGTGCGAACTTTGCGCAGCTTTTAAAAATGGTGGTGACAAAGAAAAAGAAAAAATGAAAATACCGTATGAAAAACATTTAATCCAGAAGGATCTTTCACGTTTAGAAAAACAGACAGACAAAGAAACGAAAGACTTTGTGGAAGTTTATGACCTGCAAGCAGTTTTACCATGTCCTAGGGGCAATACTTCTAGTTTTTATTATGTTTCAAAATTAAATGTGTTTAATTTTACAATCTATGACATAAAAACTAATTCTGTCACTTGCTATAGCATATATGTCTGGCATGAGGGACAAGGTAATAGAGGCGCCAACGAAATTGGATCATGCGTTTTACGTTACCTAGAAAATTTAAATGATATTTTTGATACTCCAAAAAAACGTGATTTTCTATTCGGATAACTGCGCCGGCCAGCAAAAAAATAAGTTTCTTCTGTCAATGTATATTTACGCAGTACAAAATCTTTCAAAAATTAAATGTATAACGCATAAATATCTTATAACCGGACACACTCAAAACGAGGGTGATAACTAGGGATGGGATATTTAGGTACTAAAAACTGAAAAATAGGTAACTAAAAAAGTACTAAAAAAAAGCATTTTAGGTTAAAAAAACAGCATTTTAGGTAAAAAAAATCATTAAAAGTTTAAGTTTCGTTTATAATTTTGTTTAGCCGCATACCCAAACACAGAACATACCCACAATAAACTATTTATATGCAATAAACTGTGTTTTACTGAGTGACACTCACTACACAGAAGTTCTATGACAGAACATAAGCTCACTAGTAGTGAGTCACTATAGAGAAGGTAACTGTAAAGAAAGTTACTGTTACAGTCTGTAACCATAAGAAAAAATTCTATACCGTTGAGTTGCACGCCCTGGATAAAATATTGGCGCAAATTTTAAAAAGAACAAAAAAAATAAAATAAGTAAAAATACGTAAAAATAGGTAACAAATATGTAAAAATAAACTGACAAATTAAAAAATATGTAACAAAAGTATAAAAAGGTAGTTTAAAGCAAAAACCTCAAAAAAAGGTAAAAAAGGTGAAAAAAAGTTAAAAAAATACAAACAAAAGTATAAAAAAGGTAGTTAAAAGCAAAAACCTCCAAAAATGGTGAAAACAAGTTAGGTTCATATAAAAGAAAATCTTTTAAAACACATTTTGGCATTATTGGTTTTCAAATAGTTACATCAGTTAAAAAAAGGTAAAATAACTAAAATCCAATCCCTAATAATTATAAATATCTGAACTAGATCTGGCCAGTTGGCTAACAATTTATCGACCACCTCATTAACTAATTAATAACTGATTGTATAAACAAACTTTGGTAGGTAACTGTTTTCTTTACCTTCAATGTTTAACATTTTGAGATGCAAGGGATTAATCTCGGGATTAATCCCTTAAACAAGTAATTGTAAACTGTACAGTTTAATAAATAAATTACATAATGGCATTTTTAGCCCTAGCCTAATGGTTGTTGAATAAAAGAAATTAATAATAGCAAAGAAAATCTACAAAAAAGTTATATTTAAGGATTTAGATATATATGGATTCCATTTATTACCTAATACACAGTTTTTAAGGGATTAATCCCGAGGTTAATCCCTTGCATATCAAAATCAGTTAATAATTAGGTACTTAAGTTACACCATGAGGTACACTTTACACCAAATAAAATCAGATAATCCAATACAAAAAATATCATTCACAAACATGAACTCCTTAAGGAAACATTTGTTCAACAAAAAACCTCAGGAAACTCAAGATGACGACTTAAGCGACACATCCTTTGAAATAGAGTTAATCATGGCCAACGACGATTACATAAATAAATCTTACGATCTGGAACACGAAGCCACCCTGGACCAGGAAAAACCGTGCAAGCGATGCTTGAAGGAAAAAGAGAGGCAGAAAATAGAACAGGAAAGTACCAAAGACGTCAACGAATACATCAGAAAGAAGTATGGCATCCAACCTCAAAAAACGTTACAGGAGCTCATGGAAGGGAAGAAAAAGGAGGGTAATGAGGAATTTTGCGCCATACCCAATCAGTATAAGCCGAGGTGGTCGATAAATTGTTAGCCAACTGGCCAGATCTAGTTCAGATATTTATATTTATAATAAAATTATATACTATTATTTATCCTATTATTTTAATTAAAACGACAAGTTACAGTAGATCATCTCGAACGTACCTAAAATCTTAAGAGCAATGATGTTCCCGCAGGAAGGTAAATTTAAAATTTATACTTGCATTCTTTGCATAAGTAAGGTGTAACCTTTAACAAAATATTTTGTTTATGAAATTAATTAAAAAAACATTTTTCATGGAGTTCATCTTTTTGAAAAGCATATTGAATTATTTAAGCCAGAAACTGTGTTGATCTTGAGTTTGTTAGTCAAGTCATTCATTTTAAATGTTTATTTTGTACAAGCTGGAATAACAAGAATGGGCATAATATCCTCATTTACGGCTCCATAACTTTCAGTTTTTTGAATCTCCTGAATATTTTTGTATGGGCATAAAGTACAACTATGTTTGTAATGTGAATATAATCAAAGAATATGTACTTTTTTTTGGTTTTTATGTTTTGACCTTGAAAAACTAAAATAAGATAAACATATAATTTAATTTAGGCGCGAGCGAGCTTGCGAGCGAGTTCTTAAATTAATGAGTGTATGGAAAAGTTTATAAACGAGGTGCATACTATACTTTTTCTACGACAAATACTTATTATTATCTTAAAATGATTTAAATCAACTAAAATAAGACAAACAAATATGTTTTAAATAAAAACAAATAAATTGGAAAAATATCCCAAAAAATTTAAAAAAAAACCTAAATCCTTCCTTACAGTGGCGGCTTTTTGTACAAGCTGGAATAACAAGAATGGGCATAATATCCTCATTTACGGCTCCATAACTTTCAGTTTTTTGAATCTCCTGAATATTTTTGTATGGGCATAAAGTACAACTATGTTTGTAATGTGAATATAATCAAAGAATATGTACTTTTTTTTTGGTTTTTATGTTTTGACCTTGAAAAACTAAAATAAGATAAACATATAATTTAATTTAGGCGCGAGCGAGCTTGCGAGCGAGTTCTTAAATTAATGAGTGTATGGAAAAGTTTATAAACGAGGTGCATACTATACTTTTTCTACGACAAATACTTATTATTATCTTAAAATGATTTAAATCAAAAATTTGTATAGAGCGCCATCTATGAAACAACAGGGGAAACTGTCAAATGTCACATTTTTACATTTTATAAACACAATTATAAAGGTTATAAATCGAAATGTATATTGAAAATTGACAGTTTTTCACAGTGAGTTTGGTAAGTTTTGCTTTATTTTTCTCTTTTTTAACTACTAACCAGTTTAAGTTTATTTTAACTATACAAGGTGTCCCTAAACTTATTGGCTTAAATTTAGGAAAAGATAGAGCATGTCAAAATAAGACGAAAACTTAAATAAATATTTTTTCTAATTACTTATTTTTTAATTGAAAAAAACTAAAAAGGGCATTTAGTGAGCCTCGGGAGTTTCTGCCCTGTCCGTCACATTAAAAAAAATGTAGTTTTTTCAATTACAAAATTTGTGATTTATGATAATATACCTTCTAGTCCTTTAATGCGATATAACAATTATTGAAATCTCGGAAACGGTTTATTTTATCGAAGTTTTAATAGTAGCCAAACCGAGTAATCGAAAAATTGCATCAAATGGTATAAAAACCTAACCTCAAAGTTTGTATGGGACAATAAGCTTAAGCATCCCCTTTTTCTACGACACTGTGTTCACTCAAACAATTGTAATTATGTGTGAATATGTGTTTTGGTAGTAAGTGACTGTTCGAAAAATATCACCTTTCCAAGACTACCATAGTAAAAGTTATATTAAAAAAACTGATATGATAAGTAACACTTTATCACCCTGTATCTTTTAAACATAGGTAATTAGGACAAATATTTATTTAGATTTTCGTCTTATTTTGACTTGCTTAATCTGCTCCTAAATTTATGTCACTAAGTTTAGGGACACCTTGTTAATATTATGTCTTGTAGATACTTCTAAGGGAAAAACCAATGGGACATTTTTTTCTGTTGAAAAAATAGGTAGTTTTATAATTAAAATGCAAAAAAATAAGCAATAAAAAATTTTTTTATTTCTGTATTTAAAGTAGTAGTCAAAATTTTCAAATATTTTAAAGGATGGATTTTAAGTTTTTTTAATGGTAGGTAATTTTTTAAATGTCTTGTGTTGTGATTAATTTAAACTTTCCCATCAGGTAACTGTTAAATTTACCTGGGTAAAGTTGTTTATGGGTTGATAGATTATTTTTTGTTTATTTTTTGGGATTATGTAATAATTTAGTTATTAAAGTCAATGTGATTTTTTCAACGATCTTTTATTTAGAAAACCTTTTATTTTCCACATTTTGGTAGTTTATGGTTTATTCAGGCTTTTATAACAACTTTTTAACTAGTCAGCTTAAATTAAAATTAACCAGTTTAAGTTTATTTTAACTACATAATTATAATTTACCAATTATGGTTATGTATATCTATAGATATCATAAATTTTGAATATTAGAGCTTCACGGAGGTTAGGATTTCGTCTTTTTAAACATCTCTTTGTATATTTGAAATAAGTTATTGTATCTTTTGACACCTTAATATTTTTAAAAAATACAATTGTGCTTACATAAAATATTTATACAAAAAATCTACTTACTGAGATATTACACTTCACGGTGGATAGCAAATGAATTGCATATAAATTCTAACTGACCTTTAGGAATCACATGCATCTATAATGTCGTAAACAGAGGTTTTTGCTTATGATTAAATGATTAAAGCGCCATCCGTTGCATAAAATTTAAAGCAAAAACAGATTCACGGAGGATTAAATCAATTTTTGTAACACCTACATAAATGGTTATAAAAATTATTTCTTTTAATTTTTAATAATATTTTATGTTTGATTCGATTGCTTTGGATGTGTTTAATTTACTTAGTGAACTGATACTTTTAGTATCAGATATTTGAAAACATATAGGTTAACCTAGCTTCATAAAAGCTAACTCGACTAATCCAATATTTTACTTATCCATTCCATTAATTAATATATTATCGTGAAATGTAGTACCAAAACATTTAAAAAATTACAAGACAAAATACAAAGCAATGTGTTGTAATAAAGACCTGTATAAGTAAAAAATAAAAAAAAATATTTTAAAAACTGTGTATTAGGTAATAAATGGAATCCATATATATCTAAATCCTTAAATATAACTTTTTTGTAGATTTTCTTTGCTATTATTAATTTCTTTTATTCAACAACCATTAGGCTAGGGCTAAAAATGCCATTAGGTAATTTACAATTACTTGTTTAAGGGATTAATCCCGAGGTTAATCCCTTGCATCTCAAAATGTTAAACATTGAAGGTAAAGAAAATAGTTACCTACCAAAGTTTGTTTATACAATCAGTTATTAATTAGGTACTTAAGTTAAACCATGAGGTACACTTTACACCAAATAAAAGCAGATAATCCAATACAAAAAATATCATTCACAAACATGAACTCCTTAAGGAAACATTTGTTCAACAAAAAACCTCAAGAAACTCAAGATGACGACTTAAGCGACACATCCTTTGAAATAGAGTTAATCATGGCCAACGACGATTACATAAATAAATCTTACGATCTGGAACACGAAGCCACCCTGGATCAGGAAAAACCGTGCAAGCGATGCTTGAAGGAAAAAGAGAGGCAGAAAATCGAACAGGAAAGTACCAAAGACGTCAACGAATACATCAGAAAGAAGTATGGCATCCAACCTCAAAAAACTTTACAGGAGCTCATGGAAGGGAAGAAAAAGGAGGGTAATGAGGAATTTTGCGCCATACCCAATGAGTATAAGCCGAGGTGGTCGATAAATTGTTAGCGAACTGGCCAGATCTAGTTCAGATATTATACTTATAATAAAATTCTCAAAAAATTAAATTTGTGTATAAAATGGCGTTTATTAAACTTGATAAATAATATACTATTTATATGAGTTTACAATAACATTATATAGACAAGTTCTGCGCAAGCAGATTTTAAATTGAAGTTAATTCCAATTAAAGTGGTACAAAATTTAATTTACTGAAATTTATCGACAAATTTCAAGTTTTATTTAAAAAATTCAAATTATCCTAATTTGGGGGCACACTTAAAAACTAACTTTTTTTCGCAAACTTCAATTTAAATTCTGCTTGCGCAGAACTTGTCTATATAATGTTATTGTAAACTCATATAAATAGTATATTATTTATCAAGTTTAATAAACGCCATTTTATACACAAATTTAATTTTTTGAGAATTTTATTATAAGTATAATATCTGAACTAGATCTGGCCAGTTCGCTAACAATTTATCGACCACCTCGGCTTATACTCATTGGGTATGGCGCAAAATTCCTCATTACCCTCCTTTTTCTTCCCTTCCATGAGCTCCTGTAAAGTTTTTTGAGGTTGGATGCCATACTTCTTTCTGATGTATTCGTTGACGTCTTTGGTACTTTCCTGTTCGATTTTCTGCCTCTCTTTTTCCTTCAAGCATCGCTTGCACGGTTTTTCCTGGTCCAGGGTGGCTTCGTGTTCCAGATCGTAAGATTTATTTATGTAATCGTCGTTGGCCATGATTAACTCTATTTCAAAGGATGTGTCGCTTAAGTCGTCATCTTGAGTTTCTTGAGGTTTTTTGTTGAACAAATGTTTCCTTAAGGAGTTCATGTTTGTGAATGATATTTTTTGTATTGGATTATCTGCTGTCTATAATGCCATTATAAACTCATATAAATTTGTGGGTCCCATGTCTAATAACTGAGATATGGGTGTGCCCAAAATCCACCAGCCGCCACTGCTTCCTTAAATATTTTATTTTCTTAAATTTTAATAGACACGTGTTAAAAATAGGCCTATTTTAGTACCGTATGCAAAATTTGAGTCAAATCTGAGAGGTGATGTCCAATATTTGTCCCACTTAAGAAATAATTACCTAAATTATAAAACTTTAAAATGTTTAAAAA